CACATTTTTTTGAAGGTAACATCATTAGTAATCGTTGATTATGCGACTATAATAATGATAATTAACTTATTTTCATAAAGAATGACACTCTTCATAGTGAAGATTACCGGCAGTCATTCTACATGTCATATATTTGTATATACTTATTTGATATATTAATATAGTAATTTTTTTTATGGTCCCATACATCAAATAATAAAATGACGTATATGCTACGTAAGATGACTATCGATATTTTTCACTATAAATAGCAAGTTGATTGTAAGTTTGATGCTATTTTCCTATTAAATTATCTATCATTCTCATTATTTGGATACTCAACGATTCGCATGATTAGTATTGACGTTAGATTGAATGGGCCATGAGAGATTGTTTTGTTTAGTAACACTTTGTGCAACTTTTTACTTTACCGAATTGGCCGTGTGAGACGTGGAACTTTCTACTTTACCACATTAGTAAAGCTGAATTCAATTTCAACCCCGATAAATCATAGTTAAGAATCTGATTAGCTGATCGTCATATTATTCTAAATTATAAGTTCAATTAAAATTTATGAGTTTAACGTCTATTTAATAGATCATATCTGATGTCGTGACTTAAACGAATATTTAACGACATTAATGCTAGATGACGTTATTCACACTACAGTTTTTATCAACGGTATTACATTTTAATTGTAATGAAAGTTCTCATTTTTATTAATTAGCATGTCGTTTCATATGATGGTTCTAATCCAAAAAACTCAATATAAAAACGTACAAAGACTTATTTGCCCCTCACATTTTTAAATGTGAATAAAAAATAAATACAGAAGTTCGTCAAATATTCACCCCTCATTTCAAAGTATAGGTTCAAGATATTTTATCAGAAATCGTTATTAGAGACAAGATATATTAATTAATTGAACGTTAATGATTAGAATGTTATCATAACAAATTGAGAATATAATAAGTATAACTTTGAAAATTGTCGACTATTGAAACTAAATTATGATGGAGGTAACAAAAATTATGACAATGATATAATTACCTTATTTGCATGATTAACATCTATATATGGCTATCCATGAGAAATTAAAGAAATATCTAAAGAATTGAGATTTGAAAACTGGTGCACTAATCGCAAAATAATACTTGTCATTTTATATTAGAAGTGTAATATGAGTCGAGTCTCAATCGACTACTACCTTCGCAATTATTATTATTATAAAGGGGTCTATAGTCTGGACACCATGCCATCCCTAGCTTGTGTTACATATCTAAGTCAATCCACGTTTTGAAAATGAATTTCCCTCTTTTTTGATGGAAAAAATAAGCAGTATTGCATGGCAAACAAACACACGCCCCAGTGTACTTTTCAATATTTAAGATTTGTTGGTGCGTAGGTGCCCCTTTTAAATTTTTATTCTATTTTAATTTTTGAGTAGTTGTACTCTTGATTCCCTTCAATTCAATAGGTGGTTAGGTACATATTTAAGGCTAAACGTGCCAAAATATTAGTAATTACTATGGCCCTATTTGAGCCCATTAATTTCAAGGAATATATTATGAAATAATGATTGATTAAGAATGTATGGTTAAAAAAAAAGAATTTTTTTTATTTGCTTGTAATTTACTTTTAATGAATAATGTGTGATTAAGAATGAGTATTGTAAAAAATAATGAAAAAAATGTGTAAAGTAAAGAATGACAAACAATGACTAAATATTCAACCAAGCTACACTGATCAAAAGTGGTTGACATGCAATCTGACCGAACACTTACAATAAGAGGGGCCCACCTTTTATTGGAGTTTTCAGTGCATGCAGGTCTTGCACGCATTGTAAGTGTAGGTTAATATTTCTGTCATGCATTTTTTATTAACTTAGATTAATTCCTAAATATTTACTTCACACAATTTTTTGCCCCTTGCAACTATTTCGTATAGTGGGGAATGTAGGAAAAATTATATGGAGCATTCATCATGAAATTGAGACACATTAATGCTACGGCGTCTTACGGACAACCACGGAATGTTAATATTGATTGTTTCATCAAAATTAGAATATTTTCTTCCTTGCAAAAGGATGATGATTTTAGAATTGCTTAACATAATTAGCTTGCTTAGTATGGATTAAAATCATATTTTTAGTAAATTTTAATAAAAGCTAATGAAATATGAGGTTGAAAAGTTAATAAAAGTTGTGAGTGTTGTAAATTGTATAATTAAAAATGAGTTTGAGTAAAAATAAGTTTTAAGAAATGAAGACCAAACAAGAGCTTAAGCGACACCAAGCCGTATGGGGTATAAATGAATTGAATTTAGCCAAATCAGCCTAAAAAGGTTTGAGTTTGTAATTCAGTCGAGTTGTTATATGCTTCCAAGCTTTGTTGGGGGTGATCGTAACGATTTTGTAATTAAAATTGTGTTTACATGTGGTTTTTTTTATTTTAAAAAATATATATAAAATACAACAGACCTATCTCGAGTGCATATCAAATGTAGAACCTATTTATATTGCTACAAATAAGGTCAGGCGAACCTGTTCTAGTGTTTTAAAATGTATATTATACTTTGTAGAAATTAGTGTCCTAAAGTAAGTTTTATTGGTTAAAAATGCAGCTTTAAAAATTATATTTGATGAAATGAATAACTTAAAAATTAAATTTGACTTATTTTACAATAAAACATTATTAAGGAAGTCCTCTTTGGCCTCTTTAACTATCTCGAAATTGAAAGACTTGGCTTATTTATAGTCGAGTCATGAAAACCTAAGAATGCAAAATTTATGAGGAAATTTTAGTTCACTTTTTACTCATCCACAATATAAGAAAACTGCTGAGAAATATTCTGGTCTATGAATTTGGTTAGGACTCAACGTGTCCACTAATTGCTTCTCTAGTATTCTCCACGAGTAAGTTGAAAGCATGCGTTAGAGGTGAAAATTCAAAGCCTTTTCTAACATAAAAAAGTAGGAGAGGCAACGATAGTATGCACTCCACCGTTTAAATAAATCAAAAGGACAACAAAAAATATATTGAGCGTAGAAGTGATACAAATAAAGAAGAAAAGCAAGAGTGAGTATATGCATTAATTAAAGTGAGAATACGTAAATGCTAATCATCTTTACCAAGTCATTAAATGTGAGTATAATTAGGCAAGAGAAGTGAATTGAGGCTCCCTGGATGTTTGACATGTGGGCACATGACCCCATCTCCATGGTGTCATGTTGTCACATGCCAAGCATCATAAATTTGTGATCCCTCATGCTATTATGATGAAAAAGAGAGAATTTAACTCGTACCGCTATTATAGAAAAATGCCACATCAATCGCTTCTCATGCAACTTTGTATTGTTAGGATACAACTTACATGAGACACCTGTAGAATTGACTACAATTGCCTCGAACACTAAGAGCTCAACTAATGTGGCTAATGATTTTGTCTCTTCTCACCGCCTTAGATTTAGGAGGTAATGCTTCTGGAAGGAGCTAAGTCGTCGGAGGCATTTGTTAACAAGGAGTTAGACTGTGCTCTCAATGTCTCAAAAAATAAATTGTTGATGAGGCGATCCCTCGTTGCCTCAGAAGTGAAGGTAGTGGAAGCAACATACTTCCATCAATGGCCTCGAATACGCTTGTGTGGCATTTTGCTTAAAATGCTTAGCTAGTAGCCACAAAATCTGCTACGAAGGCAGATGTATAACAATAGTTGATTAAGTTTAAGGTCTTGTCAATATGTATGAGATATTTTGACTTTCAAGAGTGTAAGATTTGAAAAACTATGTACTGAGATCTTGTCATAGAGGTCTGTTGCATAGGTGCTCATTGTTTATGAAGTGAAAAATGCTTTTGCCTTATCGAAGCTAAGGCAATGTTGTAATGAAAACGCTCTTGCCTTATTGAAGTTAAGGCTTTGTAATGGTAGTTGTGGCAAGATAGGGTGTGATGTGTCAATTTTAATGGTGAACGTGGTGCCTCTAGAATTAACTATAGCTACCTTGAAAACTAGAGGCTTAGCTGATGTGGCTAAAGGTTGTGTTTGTTCTCATCGCCTCAGACCTAAGAGGTGATACTTCTGGAAAGAGCTATGTAATTGGAGGCATTTGTTGATGAGGAGTTAGACAATGCTCTCAATGTCTCAAAAAATAACGATTGAAGGGATGATGAAATGTTCCTTCATCACCTCAAAAATGAAGGCAGTGGAAGCGACATGCTTCTATCAATGGTCTCAAAAATACTTGTGTGACAATTTGCTTAGCTAGAAGCCATATAGTTTGCTATGCAGACATGTGTATAACAATAGTTGCTCAAGTTTAAGGTCTTATCAATTTATATGAGATATTTAACTTTGAAGAGTGTAATATTTGAAAAACTATATATTTAGACCTTGTCATAGAAGCCTGTTGCATAGGCTCTCATTTTTTATAAAGCAAACAACGCTTTTGTCTTACTGAAGCTAAGGTAGTGTAGTAATGAAAATGCTCGTCTTACTGAAGTTGAGGCTTTGTAATGGTAGTGGTGGCAAGATCGGGTGTGACGTGTCATTCTTAATGGTGGATGTGGATGAAGGTCATGGTGATGACAATTGAGCAAATCGAGTATCGCGGTGTAGATTGATTTGAAGGCGATGGTTGTTTTGAGATGGCAAGGGCTTGATATTTTTGTAGGTTTGGTGACGAGATATCAATGGTGATGATGAGTGCAATTGTACGTGGGTTTGATGGTGATGATGCGAGAGCGAGGGACAAGGGATAGAGTAAGAGTTGAAAGTAACGTGGACTTATAATTAATAGAAAAAATGTGATGAGGGATGAAAGGATGGGTGATGAATTATTTATTTATTTATTATTTTTTTTTTTTGAGATGCTTGATTTAATAAATACTTTTTTTTACACTTAATTTAATATAAAATATTTGAATTTTGAATTTTGAATTTTTAAAATATAAATAAATGAATGGGCCTATTTTCCGTCAAAACTCGACAGAAGCCCAATGAATGATATTTTCTTGTATAGCCCAATTAAAATCCAAATTTCTTGGTGTAAACCTTACGAATAACAATAGGGACAAGCGGCTGAGGGTTTTTTACCTTGGAATTCGAAGGAGAGGGAAGAAGGGAAACGTGTTCATCATCCTCTACAAGAATAACTCAACTTGGAAGTTAGTATTTGATTTATTTACATAAAAACGGGATTTATATGTTTATAAGTTGATTTCAACCTCGATCTGATTGTTTGTTGTGAACGATTAATTTCAATTCAACTCCTTAGAATTTACTATTTTTTTTTACCAAAATTGTTATTTCTTGATGGTAATCTTTCTCTAGAAACAGTGATTTCCTCGACGACATCTATCGAATTTTTGATGCGGTTGTTTATGGGGTTCTCTCTTGTGCACTGAATCCTTTCAATTTTAAATTCTTTGAAACTTCTGAGTCCAATTGTCAAGTATTGATAGGCACAGATTATTTGTAACAGATTTTTTCCTGGGAAGATAAAACCAACTAGAAGATTAATGTCAGGACGAAATTGGGGGATTCCGGTTCCTATGAAAGGAGTTCCTCATGGTGGGCTGCCCCCGCCTACAGTTCATGAATCGCCTCTTGTCCGAGGCCTTGGTGGAGGACCTCATCCTGCATTGTTGGAAGAAATGAGGGAATCCCATTATAGTTTGGGTGGACCCAGACCTCACCCTCCTCCTTCTGCCCTTATCAAGGAGCGATTGGCGGCTCAACACGATGAGATCCAGGGTATGCTTGTTGACAACCAGATGTTGGCTGCAACTCACGTGGCACTTAGGCAGGAATTAGAGGTTGCACAGTATGAGTTTCAGCGGGCTGATAAGTTTGCCCATTCTTTCCATGCTGGAACGGATTTAGAGATGAGGGAACTTTATGAGAAGTCTGTTAAAATGGAAAATGAACTTCATGCTGCTAATGCTATGAGGGCTGAGCTTATGCAGGTGCACATGGATATTAAGGAGTTAACTGCTGCAAGGCAAGATCTTACAACTCAGGTTCAAATGATGACTCAAGACTTGGCTAGAGTTACTTCAGACTTGCAGCAGGTTCCTGCAATTAAGGCAGAAGTTGAGGGTTTAAGACATGAGCTGGATCGAGCTAGGTAACCGTGTGTAACTTGTTTTATTTCTGCTATCACGCCTTCTATATTTTAATGTTATTGTTGGCTTTTAGGGCTGCTGTTGAGCGTGAAAAGAAGGGTGTTGCAGAGAGCTTGGAGCAAGGTAAGATGATGGAGAGTAAGTTAATCACAATGGCTCGAGAGGTGGAAAAACTACGGGCAGAGTTGGCTAATGCACAAAAAAGGGCTTATGCTGCTAGTGCAATTGGGAATCCAGGTATTCTATGTTGCAAATTAATGTTGCTAGTGCCATTGGGAATCCTGTATATCCTTTTCATTGTTTATTCTTTATAATGAAATTATTTCCAGTAGGAGATTGGAGGGAGTAAGCTCATTTACTGGATATGTCATTAAGTTTTTCTTTCATCAGGAATTGAAATATTTCATTCATGTGTATTACCTGAATTTAGAATCTTGGACATAGATAGACATTATTTCGTAATGAAATTAGTTTTTTATGTGGGAGGAAATGGTAGGAGTTTTGCGGGCGGTAAGCTCTTTTACTAGGTATGACATTCATGTGTAATTTTACCTGGCGTTAAAATCTTGGATGTAGATGGTCCTTACTTTTGTGGCTATTAACTGCAGTGAAGCCACTAATGGTAGTGTATATATCTTGCACATTATTTGGTTAATCCAGCTACAGTTTTGGTAGGATTGAATGAGAAATGCCTTGGTTGTAAAGTCAATTGACTTGCAATTCTGAGACTGATAATGATATTTGAATTGGACTATATTGCTAAGTTAGCTTGAGTCAAAAACCAAGAGTAGTCTAGACAAATCTATAGTTTCAAGTTATTTCATTGGCCTATACTAGATTCTTTTAAGTAGTTTTAGTACATCGTGACATTGTATCTTGAGAACATATCCATAGAAGGATGGTTTTTGAGAGAGAGAGAGAGAAGGTCATACTAATTTGAACTTTTTAAAATGTTTATTTCTTTTCAAAACCCTAAATTATAACTCTCCTTTTCTTCTTCAGCGCCAACTCTCTGTTCCTTTGGATACACAAGACAATGCGAAATTGAAAAAGAGAAAAAAGACAACCAGCACAGAAAATAAATGAGCAGAAGAATAAAAATTGCTACTGAGAATAGGTAGTAGAAGAAGGTAGAGAGGCTGCAATTATTTGCTTAAATTATATTCCTTGATCTGCAAAATGGGGATTTTCTCCAGATAAATCTAGTAATAGAGTAGTTAATGTATTAATTGAAAGCTTGACATTGCATATTAGAACTCATTAAAGCCCTTTTCGCATCATTATGTTCAAAGGAATGAGGAAGCTCCAATACAAAAACATTGGAAGGGAGTTGCTTTAAAATGAAAAAAATGAAAATGTTATACTTATTTAAGAGAGCTGTAACAATTAAGGAGAATTTTTGTAGCATTAATTATGAAGAGTTACTACGGTCGATGGAGCTCGTTGTTTTATAGTCTTTCTTGGAAGTGTTTATGTAATGCTTTCAAAGTGACCAATGGCTAAGGAAGGATACGTCTGTATTTCTATCCTCAATCTGTACTTCCTGAAGGATACCTTCTGACTGAGCTAGTATTATTGGATGCGGCAATAGATGTTCTTCCAACTTTGCTTTTACAGTCGGACTAGTAGACTATTGAATTCCATCATTGAGCTCCTTCTACTGTAAAGTACCGTTTGCCTAGTCGGATCCCTTTTTTCCAGTTCAAATCTGGTTGTCACTTGTTTAACAAAAACTTGAAGTCTCTTCTTCGTTTTTGTTATGCAGATAGAACTTGCAGAATTATTTCCTGCAGAAGACGGTTGATACTTGTTTGATGCTAAGCATCTGGTTTGCGGATTTTCTAGAAGATTGTAGTTAATTACATCTAAGATTCAAGGAAATATTCTAATCTAATGGAAGAGGCCTGGCAAGACTTCACAATTCCCTTCTATTACTGATTACTGAGGTAGTGTCTCTTGATTGGATCACAAATCAGATTGGAGTGCCTGATAGGAAATATCCCATTCGCACATAGACAGAAAGCTGAGAATGGGGCTTTACAGCACATCTTACTATAAAGGGTAAAACTAACTTTAGTTATCAGAGAGGTTTGGGATAGAGGAGGAATTCAAAAATGGAAAACGAGGAGCATGCTTTGAATTTTCCCATGCTCCCAAAATTCGATGAGTTTGGGGAGCAGGTCAAGTAGAAGGCCAATCACTTGACTCTTCTAGTTTGGAGAGTTGAGGCACTACTTTGACTGGCAACCATTTTTTATAAGGTTATTAAATTAGTCTTTTTGACCTGTAAAGTAGGCCCTTCTGAACGAAAAAGTCAAAACATAGACATTTTTGGCTTTGAGCATCATGAGATAGCTATTTTGATAAATTCCTCTTTGTATTTTCTTATGAGTTTTCTTGAGATCTGTTTGAACTTTGAACTAAATATATGCGTTTTGTTGCTTCTCCACTGAGTTTACTTAGTTTCAGATCAAAGACAGGTTTGTATGATTGTATATTACTTGAATGATATATTTTCTAAGCAATATTTCACTAAATCTACGATTGTTATTGGTTAATTTATCTTCAGACATTCATTATAATTGATTAGTGTCTCGCTACATCAAATTTAATGATTCTATCAAATTGATGTATGAAATGAGGTAGGCTTTGATATAAGAGTTTTATTATAGGCTGAATTTTATATCTGCAGCTGCAACTTATAATGCAAATTACAGCAATCCTGAAGCAGGGTATTCAGGGAATCCTTATCCTGTAGCCTATGGCATGAACCCCCCAAATCCAATGCATCCTGTAAGTTAGTAACTGAGGTTTACTCTTTTGTAGTTTGAAGATGTGCACCAGTACAGAATTTGTGCAAATATGTTATTTTGTTCATATTGATATTACTCAGCAAATTATTAATCAACTTTTCATCCCCTTGTTGTAGGCACCTTCTGGTGCACAAGGTTATCCTCAGTATGGACCTGGACCCGGCACTTGGGGTGCTTATGATACGCAAGGATATCCAGGACCAAGATAAAAGTTCATGCTAGGTTGTGTTTTTACCTTTTCCTCTATGGTATTTCATGAGAACTTAATTGGGTGTGATTGTCTCATTATGAACATTTAGAAAATCATTTTGTAGCAGCAGCATTAATATTGCTTTCTTTCAAAGAAGTCTTGATACGAATATTTGTTATCGACTCATTTGTTTGTCATGCGAGTGTACATAAATATGCCTATTATTCATTTATTATCTTTTATAAATACTAGCTATGAGGTATTTTCAGGTTGATTTTTTTCTACCAAAATTTTGTTCTAATTGCTAGGACTTTCCCTTAAGTTACGTGAGATATCATCTGGCAACTCTCTTAATTAACCATAGATTATCTTATCAACAGTATATATTTTTTTCATCATTTGAATATCGCCTGCCTTTTTCGGGCTTGATAAATCTATTGTGTCAGTTTCTGCTTGCTTTGCTGCTCCAGTCCATGCTGAAGTTTGAAGCCCATCATTTGGTTAATATGCAAGTGTTCTGTAGTGCTTAATGGCGTTTTAGTGTTGTAGTGTGTCTTGACCCTGATCATGCTGCTGAACATCAATTGGAGGGATTTCTTCCTATTGTGAAGCCATGAAAATTTGGTAAAATTATGTATACTTTTTCCTTAAAGTGACGAAGATGTACAACAAATAGAAAGTTTCACACAGTTAAAACTGAAATCTACCTTAGACCCAATGAAATTCGACTTGTGAGAATGGAAACTGAGACTTCATTATCTGACTTTCAAATGGAAATCTATTTCAATTTGAAACATCAACTTTTAAGATTTGGATGATCGTGGGGTTTATTTGAAGTTCTAGTATTATTTCTGTATCCATCACACCTTCAAAATATAAAATTTTCCAACTTCACAGTCCCACAGATGGTGTAGTTCTTATTGTTTACTGTGCTTTCTGTGCGACTTTCAATTTAGTTGTTAAGGTCACAGTTCTTGGTATTTGAGTAGCATCTCCTGAATTAGGATTGTTGCTTCTAAGCGTTCGAATGAAATCTAGTGTCTCAGAGTCAGACTTTGCACAATATTGGTTTTCTTATTAGGTTCAATTTAGAGTTAAGGTGCGGGTAGATGCACATTTTAGAGAGAGGAAACCATCTATCACATATTCTGCTTCTAAGTCTCTACATATATGTTTTCTATATTTCCACACGTTTGTTGGTGATTCTTCTCCTTCCCTTCTTTCCTCGGGGACTTCGGCACCTCAATTTTAAAACTAGACAAGGGAAGCTATCAGGTGAAGTTTTTCAATTGATCGTTGCATTTATATGTAATGACAGCTAATCATTGAGCCCTCATCTTTGTGTTGGCATTTCCAAGACGGCTTTACATGTTGACATGTTCTTTAAAAAATGTAAATTATAGGAGTTTAAATAATACTCGAGTTTCAGGTATGTAAATATTTGTTGCGTGCACAATTTTGTTATTAATTTGGATTTTTCTGCTAAAAGATAGTTATTATGCAATATCATGACTTGTTAGTCACATTATTCAACTTTTGTCTTTGCCTTATCTGTTAGTTTCCACTTGCTATGAATTTTGTTGAATGATCTGACATTTATTATTACTATCCTCTTACTCAAAATTTTTTGACATCCAAAGGATAATTCTTTAATTCTTAGGTCACGGGAAGGAGCCTCGGGGTCGGATTTCCTAGCTTTGAAGGACTCTACTTGCACGTTTGCAGTAAGGTAGCAATGGAATTACATTTTTCAGCGTTCTGTGCGTTAGATGAAAATTTCTGTGGAGAAGCTTATTACTGCGAACAGCGGAAAATGTTCATCCTAATAATTGTTTCGTCCGCAGGAGAAAAAGTATGGCTACAGCGGTTATGAGCCTTTCATTTACTTTTGTGTTTAGCTAACACTGAACTAGGAGGGCTAAACTATTGAATGGATTTTGTTGTCAAATTTGTTGGGGTTGTTTGTACAGTGTAGCATATGCATATCTTATTGACCTGTCGAGCCAATTTTCGTCATGTTTAATGTAGCAGATTATGGAATTTCGTTGTGCGAATTTCATTTTGTTTTATTTAATTGATTCATAAGAAGCTAAATTATCTCCCAAATAAATTTCAAGTTTTCCAAATTGTTTACACAATTTCAAAGAATGAAATGATTTAATTTGATGCAAAGCAAATAAATATAGGGAACACCACATAAATCCTCCATTTAAAAATCACATTTCAAAACTAACAAACTTCAAAAAATCTTTCAAAAATAAGGTGATAATTAAATTCATTAAATATTTAATTAAAATATAATATAATTAATTTACTTACCACACTTCACCTCCAACCCACTCACCAATCACATCAAACTCTTTTCCTTCTCTCTCCACCCCCAACCCCACTTCACTTCCGGCAATGGTTCCGGCAACAATTCCGACGACCTCTTCGGTGAATATTTCGGGGATTGCTCCGACGACGGCTCCGGAAAATATTTCGACGACTGCTTCGGCGATAGCTCCGAAGACAATTCTGACGACTATTCCGGTGACCAATCATGTTTCCAGCGACTACTTTTTTTCTTTTCTTCCTTTTTAGCAATAACCTGTGACCAATTCCATTAGATTTGTGACATGTTTACATTGTGATCTCTGACCACTTTTATTGAATCTGTGACATAATCAAGTGGGATGAATATGCATATGATTAATTTCAAAATTAAGAAAATAAAGTTTGAAATTTCAAAAATCAAATACTATTAAAATTTTAGTTATGAAATAATTAATCAAAAAAAATTTTGTAATTAAATATGTTAAATTCAAAACTCTTGTTTTTTTTTTCTTTTTTTGGGCAATAACCTGTGACCTTTGTACATTGTGACATATAAACTATGATTTTCAACCTATGATTTGTTACCCGTGACTCGTAACATAAAATGTGACCTATAAATTTGATCTGTGACTTCTACAAAATGGCATGTGGCCTGTTAATATTGATTTATGACCCCTCTATGCTGACTATGAACTTGTGAACTCAAACCTGTGAATAGTGAATTGTGACCTTAACAGCGAATTGTGACCATTGACGAATGAGTTGTGACCTTATGTGTTCATGACCAAAATTGTCTTCAGTGTGACTATTTGTGACCAAGTTAGTCTAATTTGTGACTATATGTAACCAAGTCACATTAGGTCACAGTTGACACAAATCTGGTCACAATAAGTCACAATGAAGATAGGTCTGGTCACTCACTACCATTCTCAACACCGGCAACCAAACGTACGCCACCTCACCAATGCATTATGACCTTAACGGCGAATTGTGACTAGTGACGAATGAGCTGTGACCTTATGTGTTCATGACCAAAATTGTCTTCATTGTGACTGTTTGTAATCAAGTTAGTCTAATTTGTGACTATATGTAACCAAGTCACATTGGGTCACAGTTGACACAAATCTGGTCACAGGCAGTCACAATGAAAATAAGTTTGGTCATTCATCACCATTCCCAACACCGGCAACCAAACGTACGCCATCTCACCATAACCGCATGTAACCAGCAACAGAACCATTAGCACCTCACGACCACCACCAACACAACCACCACCATCATAGCTTGGGCTACCATCGTCAACTACACACAAAGAACAAAGCTCACCCCCAAATTTTTCAGCATTATATCGTGACCAAAGTTTACCAAATCGAGACCAACAAAACCCACATAACCAACAAAAACTCCAACAGCAAAGGGAAGCTCATATCACTCGCAAAACCCCACCACACAATCACTCCCTCTCGTCGGCAACCACTTTTGTTGCTAGTAACCATTCCCACCATCAGGGGCGGAGCCAGGATCTAAGTTCAGTGCGGGCAAAATTTTATCGATGTTGAATGTCGAGTTTTTAGTAATGGATTTAATGATGATAAAAATATAAAACAATATTACGACAAAACTACAAATGACATAATTTATATATTATATTTGTTTTTTCGCGAGTTTTCATACTTTGATATCGTTGTAAAATAACTTCATTATCGAGCTTCAAAAATATATTTTTCTCTACATGAAGGTGGATTCAATCAGGTTGATCATTAAAAACAAAAAGTTAAAAATAAATTTTTTTTTTCAGTTCTCAACTGAATGACTCTTTCTTTCTAAATTGTGATATCATTTTATTTTAAACAATCAATTTTTTGATTAAGAATATATATATTTCTTGTATTTTCACACAATCCCTGTCTTACAAATTAAAAAATATTTGTTTTTTTTTTCAAAAACAATTAATTTGAATCAAATGAAGTCACCTTTGATTTAGATTAAAATCATATATTTAGTATATTTTGATAAAAAAAAATTATGGAATGTGTGAGTAAAATGTAGCGGGCGTATGCCCGCACTGGACATTATGGGGCTCCGCCCCTGCCCACCATTGTCAATCAGATCAACAGATTGTCAAAAACCACAACCAACACAAACACCATTACCCTAAGAGAGAAACTGGCTATGACTGAGTTTTCAAACGAGAATGCAGCGAGCTCAAGCATGCCGACGTGGCCTACTAAGGTTTGCTTAATGATGCCCAAGGTGTATTGACAAATGGAAGTGAAAATAGCCAAACCAGTAAGGTACCAAAGCTTTATGGACTCGATCCAGAACTGCTCAAAGATGACTTTAACTCCAGTGACTCTAATGATCGCAGGAATGTCATTTTCGTCGACGGTGAAAAATGAATTGATCGTTGAATTGAATTTCTTTTTCAGTTTTTTCATCATTCCCAGTAGAATTGAGTGGTTGCTTCAGATGTTACCGCCTATTTGTTGCCCAGATTAGTAGTGCCCTTTCGCCCCTTTCATCATATCATCAGCGACGATGCCGATACTTACACAGTGGTCGGCCAACTGGTCTTCCGACAAAAAGGAGCTAGTAGCGGTGCCTCGTTGCTTGCACCGACGCCGAAATATCGGGGGCTTTGAATCTTTAAAAAAATGACGCCATGACATAGAGAGGCAATGGCTAGAAAGGGAGGAGAGATAATAGAGAATGGGGAAAATGGATTAGGGCGTAGATGGGTTGGGGTCAGGGGTGTTTATTAGATTTGAATTGATTATATTTAATAAATCCTAATTACCACCTGAGATTTGAAATCTAAACTAATTTAACTTATTTATGATAATTAGTCTATAATTGTAGGTGTCTAGGTAATTTTCCCATAAATATATTTAGGGTGAACATGATCCGGTCCAAACTGAACTGAACTTCAAATTTTAAGTATTTAATTATGGAATCGTTCAAGTTTTGTTTGATTTATTTGGATTTTCGGATTTTGTGCTATAATTAAATTTTTTAATATTTATGAAGTTAAATTAATTTAACTAATGATATGTTCAATTTTAGCTTTTTGAAGATAACGTAGTTCAATTTTGTGCATATTTCATGTCTCTTTTTGTTGAGTTTTTTTTTCATATATTTGATTGTTAAAATTACAATTAGAGTAAGTTAGATGGTTTACAGTAATGAATAAAGCGCATTCGAGTTTCAATTTGATTTTTTCAGAGCGGTAGAAAGACACTATGGTAGAATAACTGATTTGTGTAAAACGTAGGTTAATTTGATGAAGTTGGACTTCGATTGGAAATTAGAAATAAGAATATCATATTTTTAAGCTTGAACTAAATTAATTAGTTAATAGATTTATTTAGAAAAAATAAAATGTTTTTTTGACTTATTTAAGATAAATAAATTAAAAAATTAGGAATCTTCGATTCTTATTCAATTTTTAATCTAGAATTAAGAACTGAACCAAGCTCGTAGATTCTCGATTAAGATACCCGTTCGAATATTTAACTTATAATAAGAAGGGCAACTTACAAAAATACCCTTAAAATTATAAGTGTTTTGAAAAATCATAGAAAAAGTTTTTTAGAAGTAAAAAATACTGTATGAAATTAAAAAGTGACATTGTGTCACTTTTATAACACAAACTTAAAAAAAGTGACAAATATCAAAATAAAACCATCCATTTGTGTAACACCATTAATCATGTTCTTAACATAATCAACATGTCCAGGACAATCTACATGAGCATAGTGTCACATATCACATCACATTTTTAAGAAGATAAGAAAGTGATAAATATTAAAAAAAAAAAGTAACAAAAACTTAAAAGGTGACAAACTCAAAATAGTGACAAAATTTAAAAAAAATGTTTTTTTGAAGTATAAAATACTTTGTAAATTTAAAAAAGTGACATAAACTAAAAAAAAAAGTGACAAAATTCAAAAAAAATGACACAAACTCAAAAAAAGTGACAAATACCAAAATAGCATCATCCATTTTGTTCGACTGACATTTCATATAATTTTCCACCGTTCATAATCTCACATTACAACATTTTCACTAAAAAGTGACAAAAAAAAAAAAGAAAAATGACAAAATTTTTTAAAAAGTAGCGAATTCAAATAAAGAGAAATATTAAAAACTAGTTATACATATTAAAAAAAGTGACAAACACTCAAAAAGTGATGAAATAAAAAAAAAAAAAAAAAAGATAGTGACACAAATCAAAAAATGCGACAAATCATAACTCACGATTTATAATGAAGCTTATAAAAATACCCTTAAAATGAGATGTTGTTTGAAAAATCATATGAAAATTTTTTAAGTAAAAAATACAGTGTATATTAAAAAGTAACACAATGTCACTTTTTAATTAAAAAAAAAGTGACAAAATGTCACTTTTAAAAGTTAGGTATCGCTTTTTAATTAAAAAATAACATATAGTATCACTTTTATTAAAAAATGATGCTTGTCACTAACAAAGTGATAGAAATTAAAAAAGGTGACTTAAAAGAGTAATAAATACTAAAAATAAGTGACCAAAATCCAAAAAAGTGACAGAAATTTTAATAAAATGACAATTTTAAAAAAAAAATGACAAGCACATTAACAAATTTAAAAAAAGTAACACACACTCAAAAAGTAACAATTCAAAAAAAGTGACAAACTAAAAGAAAGTGACACACTTCTGTAAAAATTACCCTCACAACTTTACTCTCCAACTCCACCTAAA